TATTTGCTGTCTTTTTCACCAAACAAACTTACATTAAATTATGAAAAAACTAAATGCTCATCTACTTTTTGCTATATACAAAAGTTGTCTGTCAATGTTTAATTCGTTAAATATAAATAACAAAGATCAAATATATGGATCGGAGTACACAACATATTTAGGGAATAAATATTTAAATGGGAATTACAAATAAAAAATATTAAAACTTTATTTATTGTATATCTCAATATTTAGTGACAATTTTGAGACTTAATTAGGAGAAAACTGTAAATTTATTAAGATGAGATATTGACAAAAGTTAAATACTTCATTACTTACAATACACTTAGAATATACTAATACTCTTATAGTTGTAAGTAATGAAGTATTATTTATAAATACAAAAAACTCTTTTCTACTAGTCAAACCCTTTCATTTGATACCCATATTGAAGTAGTTGTGAAAAAATAAGTAATCCGCTATTGTGTAGCGGCGTCCATCTTGGATATACAATGATACTGAATGTATGTAGTGTATGTATAGTCGATTCGCTAATCTCAGACACAACTATCTAGTATTTTAGTAATTATTTTATTGCGAAAGTTAGTTACATTTTAACAGACTAGAACTGGATGACAATTACTATATTTACAACCAAGCACATATGCCCATAGAAAATATTAAGAGTAAACAGACATAAATCTTACTCCAATCAATCATTATTTATTTACACCGTTATATAATTCCACAACAGACAACGTAAGATTTGACCAATAATTTAAAGGTAAATGCTCCAAATATACATTTTTACTTCAAGAAGTTAAAGGTTACGGAGTACCAAGCAAACTTTAAAGTTTCATATCCATTGGATTATAAAAATGAAGTTCTCAATCCCAGTATCTGGCCTGAAGGTTCAATGGTTCGTCGTTTTGACTTCAAGTATAAGAATTGTACTAACCGCAGTTAACAAAAAAACCAGAAATAATTGTTACAAATCCGGCTTAGGCAAACTAGATACTACAAATAATTTTAAAGGCAATACCAATCAACTAAAAATCGTATGTATTAACTCTGAATCTATTGTAAACAAAATAAATTGTATCCAAATATTAGTTTAAACTGAAAGTCTGGATTTACTATGTATATCCGAATCATGTGTAATGACAATAATATAAATTCGTTTTATCTTCCTAATGCTCTCTTGTAATGATTCGTAATACTTTTTTGATTATTTTTTAGGTTATTAGGATAAAGATAATTTATTAGGAAATTCCACGACGAACAAATTATATCTTGTATCAACACAAGCCAAAAAGAATCGATGTATTATTGTATTATCAACGTCAACATCAGAATAAACAAAAAAGTATTTTCATCTATGGTTCCATCAATACGATTTTCACCATTACTTTGCGTTGTGCGATGTATTTGCAACCTTTTGTAAATCAAAAATAATTACGCCATTTAGAATGTCAACAAAAGCCGGCCCTGCATGTAATTATTTTTTCAGTGCAATATTTCATATTTATTGAAAGTCAACATAAATGCTCAATTTTATTTAAGAATTTATATTGTGTAATATGCCCACTGACTATTAAAAAATAAGGTGCTTTCCTGTCATTTTCACTCGTTGGCGGCTTGCCCACGCAAGATCAAAGGAGTGTCGCTTCTCTGCGTTCGTAGTTCTCTGTCTATAGCCCAAAATCTATTTATGTGTTGAATATAGGCCTCTCCCATTTGTCTCTGTCTTCTGTTTGTCTTTTCCACATTGGACCCGCGCTTTGCTAAATGTCATCTTTCCATCTCGTTTGCGGTTGAACTCTTGACCTTTTTGCAGTATATGGTCTCCAGCGGCCAATTTCTTTATTCCATCTTCCATCCTGATATCTTTCATTATGCCCAGCCCATTTCCATTTTAATTTCAATGTCTGTTGTTTCGGTTTTGCATCTTATCCACTCGTTCCTCTTTTTATCTCTCAACAATATTCCCAACATTTGCCTTTCCATAGCTCTTTGAGTTTTCTTTATTCTATCTAAGTTGCTCTTGGTACATGTCCACGTCTGGGCATCATATGTCAGAACAGGTAGGATGCATGCATTAAATACTTTCGTTCTTAATTTTAAAGGTATTTTTTGGTTTTTGATATTATATGAGAGTTTTACGAATGCAGCCCACCCCATTCTTATTCTTCTGGTTATTTCTTTAGTCTGGTTACTTTTGTCTGCTCTGATAGCTTGTCCTAAGTAAATATATTCTTGGATGTGTTCTATGTTTGTTCCACCTATGGTAATTACTGATATGTCTTCTGTATTAGTCATTATTTTAGTTTTCTTTAGAGTTTTTTTAGTCCTTTCTCAAGAGATGTTTTTTCTAGGTCTGAAATCATTATTCGTAGTTGTTCCATAGTTGTTGCTATCAGGAGTACATTATCGGCGAATCTTAGATGATTTAAATATTTCCCGTTTATACAAATCCCTTTATTGTCTCAGTCTATAGATTTCAAAATGTCTTCCAACGCCAAAGTAAATAGTTTGGGTGAGATTGTATCCCCTTGTCTGACACCTCTACAAATTCTAATTAATGGTGTTTGCAGATCTCTGTCCAGCTGAATTCTCATAGTGGCGTTTTGATATATATTGTGGATTAACATTCTGCACCGTGAATCTATTCGGCAATTAGCTCGCGCTTCTTCCACTGACCATAGTTATATGCTGTCAAACGCTTTTTCATAGTCAACAAACGCTAGGAAATGTTGGAAGGTTGTATTCATTGGTCTTTTGTATCAATATTTTAAGAGTGTGAAGGTGGTTGGTTGTGCTATACCCCTTTCTAAATCCTGCCTGCTCAACTGGTTGGTATGCATCAAATTTGTTGTTTAGTCTAGTTGTGATCACCTTAGTGAAAGTTTTATAGATTTGTAACAAGAGAGATATTGGTCTATAGTTAGCTAATTTTGATCTATTTCCTTTCTTATATATCAGAATTGTATTTGCCTTGTTCCACTCTTGCGGTATTTGTCCTTCAAACAAACATTTATTGAAAACTATCTTTAGGTAGTCTTTTATCTTTTCGCCTCCTTCTTTTAACATTTCAAATAGAATTTCATCATCTCCCGGAGCCTTATTTCTTTTCATATCTCTAATTGCGTTTTCTATTTCTTCTCTGGTTATGGGGGATAATATTTCGGAGTTTACATTCATTATTTTCTTATTTAGGTTTTGTTGAGTTGTATCAGGTGGACTGTTTTTAGAGCTGTAGAGGTCCCTATAATATTCCCTTGTTATCTTAGATATTTGGGTTCTGCTTTTTTTCTATTACACCTTGCTTATTTTCCATCTTTATGATTTTATTTCTTCCTAGGTGGGACTTGAGAGATCTTAAGTTTCTGTTTTCTTCTATAATCTTCTTGATTCGTTCTTCTTGATGCCGTTTGAGATCTTGTTTTATATGTCTTCTTATTTCTATATTAAGGGTTTTGTATTCAGTCGTATTTCTTTTATTTTCTTGTAGTAGGCTTCTTCGTTGTTGTAGCATGTCTAAAGATGTGGCACTTAGTTTTGATTTTTTGTCTGATTTTGCTGGTGCTACTTCTAAGCTTGTCTTTAGAAGTTCTTCAGTGATGGCTTTGTTTAGTTGATCTAGATTTAGGTCTGTTAGCTTTAATTCTTCACCTGTTCTTAATTTGTTTTGGTATTGTTCTTTATTCTCCTTTAATTTTTCTGGGTGGACTTTTTTCTTAGAGTGCACATATTGTCTTCAGTCTTTTTTGTGTTTAATACTTATTTTAGTATTACAGTAGAGATTGAGTTTATTACTGTAACATCTTCGAAAATGTTCTTTTTGTTTGTTAGAATGTAGTCAATTTCATTTTTAGTGTTCCTATCTGGCGACATCCACGTCCATTTCCTATGTGGCTGCGAGGTGTTCATAGAATTCTTCCATTTCTTCGTCTGTGTGTGTAGATGTTGGCGCATAAGTCTGAAATATTTTTAAAGTACCTTTTCGCTGATATTTATGATTAATAAAGCGATTCTTTCTGTTATTCCTACATATTCCTCAATTTTATGAGCATATTTTTTCGAAATCAAAAAACCAACTCCATCTAAACTTTCGTTTTCTCTACCTTTAAAATACAATGTTTCCAGACTCTAGGAAGATGCAGTTTTCACCTTTTCTTTTTACCTCCGATAGTCCGATTATGTCCCATTGCAGGTGTTTAACTTCTTCATGTAATTGATAGAGTTTCTCGTCTTTAGACAAAGATCTTACATTAAAAGTTGAGATATACATTTTTGTTGTCTGTATTGACAAACTATTGTCTCCCCCAGATCTGATGAGACTGACCTTATTAGATAAGGTGTAGGATTTGCCACAATGTGAACCACCTACCTGGGGACCAGTTCCGTTCAGGTTTGTATTCGCCATTTGAGAAGGGAGGTGTTGACTACCTATTACTGTACATAAAATAACTGATTACGGTCACTGTTTAAAATCAGTCACTGATCACGGCATGATTTAAAAATCACCATGTTCACCATCATTAATTTATATGAACACTTTAGTTTACATTTAACGAAGTTCACATTTGGTCCAATACTTATAGTAATAAAAATACACTAATTGATAAATAGCAAACTATAGATAGGTACATTCTGTATTAACTGTAAGACACAATTTATATTTGCAATTGTGTAAATGTGATATCTGAGGAAATATGTAGGTACATATAGATTTATTCTTGTAAAGTAAGAATGGAACCAACAGGGTGGTTCTATTTGGCAAAAGAAATAAACATTCCTCTCATTGATAATTTTTTCTGTTTTATAAACGTTTAACTAACAGTTTAAAGAAGAAATAATAATTTAATATGTAAGTGTTCATATCTGTAGTCAGTAATTTAGGAATACCACTTAATGAATAAAAGTTGGGAAGCAGTTTCAATCTATACAAAAATGAAAATCTATTTAATTCATAAACTAAAATGTCTTAACTAATTCATTAACTAAAAAAAATAACTTACCATCCATTCATTTTCTACTTTGGGTGTATCTGGCTTATCTTCATTTTTATTAACTTGTTCCTTATTTTTTTCTTTAATTCCCTCTTCCATAATATAATTTATTTTTGAGGTTACATCACCCCTGCTCATGTCATAATGCATGTGTATATTTTTCTGACACATTCCAGCTGTTTATTCGACTGTAAACGAATATACCCGAATAATCAGTGTAGGTATGCTAAAATAAAATAAAAATATAATAAAACATTTCGCATACTAAAAGCTCCCTCCCCTGCGTTTTGGTTGCAAAGGCATTCCTAAAGATTCCAATGAAACTGAAAGAAAAATTCTATAAAATTGCCATAAAATCTACATTTAAAAAGAAACAAGAACGAATGTATAAGTCAGAAATGATAATGCATAAATGAATGAGTGAAGTTACAAAAAAAGATAGAGTCAATAATGGATTAGGGGAAGTCTACTAATTTCAATGTCTTCAAGCTGTCAACGTTGAACTTTCCAGGGAATATCAAGTACCTAGTTAGCTTTTCTCCAAGCAATTCTACGTTTCCAACCATTCCTCTTCCTGCCAACCACATATAGTTACTCCGTTTTCGACCTGCTAACCTTAAGTCGTGCCTCTTCAATAGCCCTTCTCCAACATCTCCGCCAACATTTCTTTGTTCTCTACTATCACGATATCATCAGCAAAGACCATTGACCAAGGAGCCCCCTCCCTTATTTTCTCTGTCAGTACATCCATAGCTCTTGTCTAGCATGTCGTCCGCTTTCTCAAGATCTATAAATATCTATAAATATCAAATATAGCTTTTCTTCTCGCTGTATTTCTCTATCAACTGCCTCAACTCAGGCTCTACTGGGATGTCTGCCAGAGGGCTTCAAACTAAGAGGGGAACTTAAGGTTCAAACCTGATTGAAAAATAATCTACAGGGATAGTGGGAACCTAAAGGTGGCAACTATTTATAAAGTGGGTGCTTCAATGATCATTTATTATTATTATTATTAACATAGGGTTAATAACCGATGTAATAAAGAATAATGAAATAAAACGTATATAAGTATTTTCAGTAACCGCTTTATTATAAATCAAGAATCATAATTATTAACAAAAATCTGTTTTATTTTTATTGTAGTGCTTTATGATATACACAATGATTTTTGTTTGATTACCTGGTGAATATATAAACAAATCTGATAGTTTTCCAACACGAGAACAGGCAACATACAATTGACCATGTGAGGAACATTGACCAAAAGTTCGGTCGAACAAATTCCTTTGGTGGCGCGAAGAAACAAATGTGAGCGAGCACACACATCGATCGCCAAACGGCACGGCATCGATGTCGTGTGATGGTCGTGTGGCGATCGATGAATGTCACTGGTCACTGCATTCACGGCTGCCGTGGTCGTTCCAAGGCGTATAGGATCAAATGAACGCGCGCACACACATCGATCTTTCGCCACCAAAGAAATTTGTTCGACCGAACTTTTATCGACCGTCCAAATTCGATGTGTGTGCGGCGGGCGTAATGGTTGCCCCTGGGACTTATTTATGGTCATAGCAAAAGCAAGCCGCACTGGAAACTCGAGTCGTTTAAATTCAAATGGTACATCAGTCGGAATCATTGGGATGCTTGGTATCGAAACGTCTTCTCCTTTATACTTTTCTTTCAGTATAGTTGCTTTTATCACTTTATTCGACCACCTTCAAGCAAAGTTGCTGCGATTCCCGACGAAGCGGGTGCAAGTGTAATTTTATTTTGTGAGCGAATTGTTGCTAATATTAATGAAATCAAAAAAGTTTTTCCTGTACTACCACGTGCATCTAAGAAGTAAATCCCTCCTGTTTTATCATTTGTTACTTGCATAATTGTATCAAATGCATACTTCTGTTGTTCATTCAATAGTGGAAGATTTGTTTGAATTAATTATTTCAAAGTGTTGAGATCATACAGTTTTTCTTGGTGCAACTCTTGGTTAAAAGTGTCACGCATTGGACGATTGGACGCGGCCAGGCCTAATTGAAATATTAGTTTGTTTAACATCATCAAGCACATGTCCTCAATTGAAATCAATGCTCCATTGTAAATTTCTTCGCTTATTTGTATATTTGGATTTTCCCTTCTAATCCGTATTTGATACAAAATATCACCACACATATTATCTTTGTACTTGATCCACAAATCATTTGGGTTTGATGGAAAGCATGCAGATATGATTATAGAAAACAATGTTCGTATTTGATGAGCTTGTGATGATATTACAGCATCATTGAGAGTTTGATTCCAATGAGCGTCATTTTCTAGCAATTGCAAACGTTGGCAGTCTTCTTTGTATGATCCACACAAATCACCATCAACAGTTCGTAAATGTTGGAGTGATGTTGACTAATAGCAGTCGTAAATAAAAACATTCATCATTGCTTAGATGCACTAAAAAAATTCGACCAATCGCATCGGTAGAATATACATCTGGGTATCCTAGAACTGGTTTTCCTGCTTGTTTCCGTCGTATAAATCTCTTTGAGGATTGGTTTTAAGTATAATATTTTAGCATTTCAGATTATAACAATGTTTGAGCAAAAACATCGTTTTGGCATATCTAAAAAAAACTGGTTAATGTAGTAGATGGTGGCTGAGCAGCTCTTTGTACTGCGTTCTGAGGTGTAAAATATACTCTTTGTACATTTTCTCTATATTCAATAGCACTAAAGTTAAAATTTACTCTAATTTAGTTAGAAAATATTTGTATGGGAAAAAAATTTATGGACATATTTTATTTTTATTTATTTATAAAAGAATTTTATTTATTTATAGACAACAGATCATTGTAGATCTATTTCTAAGTAATAACTATATTAATGTTTTCTGGGACATGTCAATGTTTTACCCATATACGGATTGTAAAAATAAAGTTGTTTTTCGTCTTATTTTGCAACCCTCTGTGGAATTTATAAAAAGGAACAACAACAAACTATTGTTTAGACAACAGTGAGTGATTGTAATTTATTATAAACTTTATTGAATAGCAAAAAAGTTCAAATTGACTCTACATTTAGTAAGAAAATATTCGTATGGGAAAAAGGGCTGTTTTAGGATTTTCCCGGAAATTATTTGAATTTTTCTCGCCGTAAAAACCATCCTTAGACTTCAAGGAATATTTTAAAAAAATAATTGTTAGGACTGGTCCATGCGTTATTGAGTTATGCGCTTACCAACACATTTTCCGATTAATTTTTATATTATAGATTTATCATAAATAATATTGTTAATATATTTAACTTGCCTAAGAGACAAGCTTTTTAAGATATTAATGGAAGGTGGGGGAATTCTACGCACACAAGCAACACCGTTTTTATTGTTGTTATTAAAACTATTCAAATTAATATAGTTAACTCACGAAAGTTAATCCTAGACGTATATAAGACACATAGAGTCAAACGGTAAATATACATTCTGAAATTATCAATTCAATTTTTTTTAATGGTGCGCAAAATTACCCATCTATGTAGGCAATTTTACGCAGTGTATCGGAAAATTTTACGCAAATTATTAAAATTATATAGTTTGATTTTTTTATTACAAAACATTTTATAACATAAACTGAGTATTTATTCAACACATATGTCACATATTTGCCCTTCGAACTTTTTCTCGCAGTGCAAGGGGTATCGGCTCAAATCAAACAAGATGCACATTGATACCACAATTATTCGTCCATCTCGAATTCTCCACAAATCAGGCAGATGTTCTCTGGGTTAGTCGGATCCAGATCGTCAAGTTCATCATCAGCACAGTGTTTTTCTCGTCATATTCCGATTCCTCCGTTTCACTTTCTTGAAATTTTTCGGCTACCTTCTTCTCGTTTCTCTCTTTTCTTTTTAAGTCAGCTTCTTCGAGAATATTCTTAATCGGTGTGGATGTCAGGATTTCAGATCGTTTTTTTGTACTTGTCCTAGTTTTTTGAGATTATGTGGACTTTTGGTTGTGGTAATAAATCCAAAAAAGAAATATTGGGTTTTGATGCTTCAGGAATAGGATCTATTTCAGAATTTACTTGTGGGACTGCCTCTGGAGTAATGTTGCCATTTCATTAATAAACTGATCTTCCAGTTGCTCTGTATCAGATGCTCTATGTTCTACTTCATTTTCTACGACTGGTAGAAACTGTTGAGGAGGCAAAAAATCTTCATCTTTAAATTTATCTGGGTCAAAAGAATAAATACCAGCAGATCTTAAGCCAGAAATCCCTTTCTTCATTGTAGCAACTTTTAGATAGGTTTTGTTAAAAATGTCAGCTAACTAAAAGTTAGTTATTCTCTGATCTGGATGTACTCTAAGATATAATTAAGATTCTTTATTATAGGTCGGAGGGCTGTAGCCTATGTGAAGTGTGTGGAGGTTTGGATATTATATATATTTGCAAAATGAATATATCTCTAGTGAAATATGACTGGTGTGATTGTGAAGTATGTATTAATAAAACAGCAGTTGTGGATTAGAAAGGACATGATATTTGAAGTGCTTTAACTACTCATAAAACAGCTCGTTATTTATCCAGCCATTATCGGAGTAGTGATATACTGCACCTATCGGGCCATAAGTTGAGCATTGATACTCTCCTATCTGTGAGGATGAATGTAGGTGGAATGTATCCTCCAGACTTACTCATCGCATAAACTATTGAAACAGTCTTTTCTCTTTCTAACGAGATTGCAAAACCTAGTTGTTTCTGTCCCTTTGGGCTCAAAATTCTTGAAGGTCTTTGTAACTGATATTGAAGCAATATTCGAATAAAATCTCTTGACCTCAATTTTATTAAAGGTGATTATTCAATTAATACTTGTTTATCCCTTCTGGTTTTGTCACACTTACTTCTACTTCTTGGTTTCTCTTTAAGAACAAAGTTACCCAGTGTTTTCCAAGTTCAGTCCTGTTCATAATAAGTCATGAGGTGTGCATAAAGTCTACGTCAAGAGCCTAGAGTCTATGAGATGTGTTTGGAGGTAAAACTAGAACATACACATTGTTAGCTCTTGGCATTGTCACAAATTCTAGATTTTTGGTATTGGTTGCATGTTCATCCAAAATTAATAGGACTGGGTCTTCTTTTTTAGGTTTTGTTTATTTAGGGAAATGTTT